GGAATGGTTAGTGGGCTGGCCGTTTCTCCTCCATTTGTCCTCCTAGAGGCAGATTGGGGTGAAAAGGGAAATAAATTGAAGAAAGAGAATAAATCATCGCTAAACTGAACATCCAGCGAGACCTCCTAACCCTGACACTCTCACACGAGTTAAATGTAAAACGTGTCCAGGGAAAATGGTATTTAAGTCCATAAATCCTGACTCACCTAAACTGTAGGGAAGGATTCTGATCTGGTTTGTGTTCATCCTCTAAAGCTCAAGACACATGGCCTGGCAATCCGGTGCTTTTCTCCATAGGCATGTGCTAGTGCACATAGATGTGTATGTGTATAACGGTATAAATGAATATATATACATGTAAACACACAAACATATATTAAGATATATGTATGTGCGTATATATATATCTATATATATGACATATACAGTATATCATAATTGACAGACTTACTTACTGTATATATAGATACATAATGTGTGTATGTATCCAACAACATCCATCCCAACAGTAGTCACTTCTTTTCTACTATTCACACTTCCACTACTGACGCTGCCCTCTCTCCAGCTCTGGTGCTTCAGCTTCAGCTGACATTTCATCTGCTTTCATCTGCTACTCTGTAAATGACAGTTCAACTGCTTTCATCAATCGCACTTCAACTGTCAGTTCTCTGCTGTGTTAAAATTCCAAACGCCTTCAGCAATTACTCTTCAAAAGATACTTCAAGCCCTTTTTGTGCTTCAAATTCACCTTTTACTCCAACCGCAGTTTGCACTCAGCATCTCAGATGCAAACAATTTACATTTCGACCCATTACTTGTGTCTACACCTGAGATTTTCAGTAAGAGCGAACGGCTTTCATTTCAGATTTTTTTTTTCTTTTTGCCTCAGAGATCTTTCTTAGTAATGGACGTACAAAAGCACACAAGCCTGAAATCATTGCAAAGAAAATGGATACGCAGTTATTAAAACACACTACCTCTATTTGGCCTTATTTTTTTTTGCACATAGACTTAGTTTTACCCCTGACTGCTTGAGTGTTCTTTCAACTTCCTGGTTGAATTCACCTTGAAATGATTCATGGTTTTGGATGTGCTGGGGTAACCTCACAGTATTACACACACAACACCATGATTCACTACAGGACCAGAATTCTTTGGGTTTTATGCCTTACCCTTCTTCCTCCCAAAAACACCACCATCTGCATCAAAACAGCATCCATTGTCAACAGCATTGGAACAGCTTTCTACCTGATGCCCATACAGACCTTACCTAGTGGAATAAATCTGAAACGAGTGACCAAAAAATAAATAACATTAAGTGACAACTTTCAGTGTTTAATGTAGTTCTTTACCATAAACGGTCAACCAAAATAGCGCTTTCAAAGATGTTAAAAAACTAGCCTGCACTGGCTTCTACTGTACAGCAGTTCACAGATGGAGCTCAGCGGTTGCAGTTGGGGGGCAGAAGGAGTATAAAGATTGGGATCATAGAGGTACATGGGAGAAATGGTACTTAAGTGTGTATTCTATTCAGCGCAGGTCCTCTAAGACCTCCTCATCTCATCTGAGAGCAGCAAGCTGAGATCTGATCTAATACCGAGTGCCACATATGAGTGTGTGTGTGTGAGACACACCACTTTGATGAAAGACTGCTGCGAATGAGAGTGTGTGGGGGTAATGAACAAGTGTTTGTGACTGTGTCTATTTGTGTGCTTATGTTCAGAGGGTAATGAAGGAGTCCAGGGTACATATATTTCTCTGTGTGTACCCCATGCTGGTGCTCTGCCTCATCCCTGAAGGGTTGTTTGGGGTATTCTGTGCAGATTTTGTTCAGGGGGGAGGTGGGTTCTTGGGGTCTTGCATTCAGATGTAATTAGCCTGGACAATGGTCTGGTTAAAGCTGGAATCCTTTGAGCCCTTTCTCTCTTTGATTGTGTGGGCCAGCTGTGGAGGAATGGCCATTATCTCCCTGTGTCCAGCAGAATAAAGAAGCCCCCCCAACCTGTTGGCCTAGTTACCCCTATGTAAGGGTTCTCACAGGGGGAGGGACATAGGCTGGTCATACATGTATCTAAAGAAAGTATAAGCAACACCACTACTAGTTGCTTGACATATTTCTGCACATTCAATGCATTTTCTGAAATATTGTTTTGATTTTTATTTTGGTCTTTTGCGTTTGTACAGGTTGAAAAAATATACATCTTAATTTTTTTTTTGCTTCAGGTGGTGCTAAGAATGCACTTGACTTGAGAACGCTGCTACACCAATACTGATACGTGTACACACGTGAAACTCTGACAGATCTTTTTTTTTCCCAAAAAAACTGAACCTCAGTCAGCAGTCAGTCACATGGGTAACAAAATAGCTAGCAGGCTAAATATAGCACAGAGCTCCTCATGTCATCTAGAGCTATACGGTTGGGAACCCTTCATTAAAATGACATTAATTCATACAAAATTACAAGCATTTAATCAAAGTTTTGCAACGCATTACCTACAATAGCCGTCCTCTGCGGCTCAGCTGAGCTAAGCTAATCCTGCTAACCTTTCAAACTGCCTTTGAACTACATTACTGTAACACACACAATTTTTACAGGTTAATATTTCTCCTGTCACCTGCTATAGAAAGGATTTAAAAAAATGTCACTAGTGTCTAGTGTCACTCCTGACAAACAAAAAATCTACATAAAATGGATATAAATTGAAAACTGTCAAACATTATATTTAGTATAGCTATATATTTGTTTTCTTTTTATTTCAGTTATGTTTTATCCTTAATATTATTGCACGAAAACCGTGTTGACATGAACTCTTTTCAAATGATCACATAAGAATCTGCTTGTGTGAAATATTTCCCTGTGTATGTGTGTGTATTTATGTTTGTTTTTATTCCGCCTTGTGTGTGCCTTGTCTTTCAATCATAAATATCTCAAAGAGAGTTCAGCCAGCTCACAGGGACACTTAGGCCCATTAGACTTGCGAAGAAATTGAATCTTTACAAGGCTGGGGCCGTATAATTACTGTTAATTTAACGCTCAGATTCTCCATCATTAACTCTCACTCTTGAATACGGAACCAGTTACAAGGAAACAGAGACAGTATATGCATGTAGCCTGTGTTGACAGCACATGCAGCCCTTCGACTGAATTAACAACGACCTCTTCCACTTGTAAGAACAGGACTTGCATCATTTATGCGTTATTAGGTCCTGTAATTGGGCAGCCAGTAGTTTGCATATTAGTCCATTAGGATAATGTGTTTTGCCTCTCTCGACACACGGTTGGCCAGAGCCCCTGGCGACACATTTGGTAATTCTGAGAATTACATCCTAATCATAAACCAGTGTTCTTTCGATCTCTATAAGTCGATGCGTGTTGGGATGTATAAATCTTAAGCTTGTTAAGATATACCAAATAACCTATCCTTCATATTTAGAAAAGCAACAGTTTTTAATAAGCTCCAATGAAACTAAATTTGATTTTTGTTGGTTAAAAGCACACTTACAATGTGAAACCTGTCTCTTTTTTTTGCCTGTTGAGGTTTCCAAACTTTCCAAGAGCTGTCAAGTTTAACAAGCCAGTGTCCCACTTTAAGCCAATACAATTACTTCTCTTAAACAAAATACTTTTAAAAGTAGGTCTCGGCACCCAAAGGATACAATGGGATCCAAAGGGACTCAACACAGTGGTAATGATTATTTTTATTGGAATATAATTTATGGCAGTTAAAAATGGGCAAAATCTTTTATTTCCTGATCATTCCTACAAAAATGACTTTGTGGAGTTATTTTTTGTCAATAATAAAACCTTGTGATGATGAAACAACCAATAAAACACTGAAATCCTATGTTGCTTGGTTTGTTTGTTACTTCTTGTTTTCATTGTTGCCAGTGGTTATAGTACCTACAGGCAGAGATGGTGTTTGCCAGAAATTCCCTGAATAAAAACAAATTAAATTCAGTCCATCAGTCATTTTTAATGGGATAATAAAAGTCTGTAATAGTGTGTACATCTTTGGAGATGCGGCCCACTACCTGTGTTTTCTCTTTTTTCCCTTTGAGCAGGTTATTTATTGTCACTATATAATTATAAATAATGAATAAATATTTTCAAGCAAAATATTTAAAAATTTTACATGGATATATTTTTGTCCACAATTTATACTTAATATTTTATGAAAAAACTGCAATCACAGCACACCCTGCTGGAGGGGAGGAGAGATGAACGTCCCTTGTTTACAAACGAAACTATATTTATATATTTACCTTCCATTTAATCTGTGATAGTGGAATGAGTGCAATGAATGACAATGTCTGAAACATGAACACAAGTAGAAACATCATTGTCATTTTTAATACTCAAGTGTTGTGTTAGTATCCCTGTCATCACTGCAGTACAGCAGCCTTAGATGTCAACATTAAAGTTTTTTTAATGGTAAAGTGAGAAAGAATGTTTCCTTGAAAAAGCTGATATTCAAATCCTGGCGTTTGGCAAAGCAATACTCGCGTGTCACTGAGACAGCATCCATCCGAAGTTTACCCAACAAGCGGGTGAACGGGCCACGGTGGGCGCAATGAAGGCTGAAAGCTCCTTTATTGCAGCCTCCTCTCTTTGGCCCCGAGCTGCCCTCTGCGCTCACCCCCCATTATTTGCCCCGACGTCCGAACGCGCGGCCCCAAAGAGCCCTTTGGAACGGAACGAAAAGAAGGAGCAAACTGCAGCTGTGACGTTGGCATTGTTGTTCCATTCACGGGTTTCGCCATGGAAACGGGCCACTGGCCCTGGAAGCATGCACTCCCTCCAGCCTCCATGAGGGTAAAGGGGCAGCTGGAGGTTCTGCAAATCATCACTGTGTCACTGTGTGCGCATAACATTCCTAATATTTGGACACGCATTACGTGTCTTGAGTCCCTACATAAACACACGTGTCATTTAGGTGTTACATACGCGACTTTTACGCACGGTTTTGACGCACCAAAACCAATAAACGTGATCAACCTCTAGGGATATAAAATATTTTTTAATCCTAAAAGATGTTTGATTTTTCTTACATGAAAACTACACTTCAGTGCGTTTACAAACGGAAGCCAGATTTCTCCCTTCACTTTTTACCCGAGCACGAAGCAGGAGTGCAAGTATTGTTGGGCAAAGTGAATGGGGTTTCTGTACAATCTCCCGTGACCAATGAGCGGGGTGCTGTCAGGGGTAACCACATCTGTCAACCGTTCTTGGCCAATAAAGAGCGGAGCGAGGCGGACCACAGGTGCGCGCCTCTGCGTCCCCTTGGCACAGCGCCCGGGAGATGCTGGAGAGAGACGCCGAGCTGCCCCGTGGCGCAAAAGAGTTACTGTCAAAGACACTCTCTTTTTAACTCCAGCTTCCACTCTGGCTCCGATACTTATGGCGACTGCAACGTCCAACCACTACAGCGTCCTCACTACCCCCAGCAGCGCGCCGCCGCCGCACTCAGAGTCCGGGAGCATGCAGCAGGCGGCAGCGTACAGGGACGCGCACACTCTGCTCCAGAACGACTACAGCACGTTACCGGGCAGTGGACACCCGCTCAGCCATGCGCACCAGTGGATAACGGCGCTGTCTCACAGTGACAGCGGGGCTCCCTGGCCACACAGTCCCCTCGGAGACCAGGACGTGAAGCCGGTGCTGCACGACAGTGACCGAGAGGAGCTGCAGAACTCCAGCAGTCTGCAGCAACAGCAGCAGCAACAGCAACAACAGCAACAGCAGCAACAGCGACACCCTCACCTCGCACACCAGCAGGCGCATCACGACGCCAGAGCATGGAGAACCAGCACCGCCAGCACGCACATCCCCGGTATGGCGTCATCTGAGAGCCAGAGCCTGGTCTATTCCCAATCCGGCTTCGGTCTGATGCCGGGGGCAGAGCAAGCGGGGATGCACCACCACCCCCTGCGGGACGAGGAGCATCACAGCCACAGTCCACATCTAAGTGATCACGGCGGCGGCCCCGGGGCCCACCAGCAGTCTCTTTCACACCATCACCAGCACGGGGGCCACCAGGACCAGTCAGACGAGGACACACCGACCTCCGACGAGTTGGAGCAGTTTGCCAAGCAATTCAAACAGCGGCGCATCAAGCTGGGCTTCACCCAGGCGGACGTGGGTCTGGCTCTGGGCACGCTGTACGGGAACGTCTTTTCTCAGACCACCATTTGCAGGTTCGAGGCGCTTCAGCTCAGCTTCAAGAACATGTGCAAACTCAAGCCCTTGTTGAACAAGTGGCTGGAGGAGGCGGACTCCACCTCGGGGAGCCCGACCAGCCTGGACAAAATCGCGGCACAGGGGAGGAAAAGGAAAAAGAGGACCTCCATCGAGGTGGGCGTCAAAGGGGCTCTGGAGAGCCATTTTCTCAAATGTCCAAAACCGGGAGCCGCGGAGATCAACTCCTTGGCGGACAGTCTGCAGCTGGAGAAGGAGGTGGTGAGGGTTTGGTTTTGCAACCGGCGGCAGAAGGAGAAGAGGATGACTCCCGCTGGAGGACAGATGCCAGGAGGAGAGGACATGTACGGGGACACCCCACCTCACCACGGAGGACAAACTCCTGTGCAGTGACCTCAGTTTTTTGTTGTTGTCTGAGCCAAAACATGGACCGTCTAAGGAAGGGATAATTCCCTTATTATTTCTTTTATTCTTCGTGCCGGACCCTTTGGAACTGGACCTCAGCCAGTTTGAACGGTGGACCTGCGGACGTGGATACACAGGGGCACACAGACTCTAAAATACGCATTTGGAGAGGCCAAGCATGTTGGGATATCGCTGGTGTCTGCTTACCAAAAAAAAGAGAGAAATTTTCCCAAAACGACACCGATATGATGTGCCATTTCTATACCAGGGCTCCCGGTGTGTTATGATACGATGTAATGTGTTATTAAAGAAAAGCAGACAGTGGCGTGGACATGAGGTGTCCGCAGGGGCACAGAGATGTTAAGTCGCAGTCAGGGTGGGTAAATAAACGCCATCTTTCCATCATAACAAAAGCAACAGGGGTTCTTTCTCAGCCTGTGGCAGTGAGGGCTGAAATGGCAGACACCCCGTGTACAATGTCAAAAAGAAACCGCAAATACACCAGCCCCATTATTATTATTATTATTATTATTGTTATTATTATTGTTATTATTATTATTATTATCAAACTCACACAAACTCTTACATTTAGCACCAATGTATTACATTAAATTACGTGTCTCGTTTTTAATGATAATACTATAATAATATTAGTAATATGAAATTATAATGATAACAACAACAGAAACAATAGTATGGAGAGTGGGTATTGGTTAACTTTGATATTTCCTTCTGTGCAGACATCACTGGACGCCTGTTTACAGTGTTTGTTTGGGGTATTTTGCAGTTAATTGTTAATATTACTATAAATATTATTTCTCTACTTTTTCCAAAATGCTGTGACGACAAAGACCGAGACTGTCAGGCTGGAACACTTGAAAAACAATCCAGTCAGTTATGCCTTCCTTTCCTGAGAAGGAAAATACACACTTTAAAACCAATAAAAACGAAATTAATATGGTTAAGAAAACGTATGAAAAGTGGATAAAAATAGAAATTTTATAAGGATTAAAAAGGGGGAAAATGACTATATCCTGGTACCAGCTCTGGCCGCAGTGGCTACTACACTACACTGTATGACTCATTCGTTCATTTACTATGACGACAATTTGTGGGATGTATCTGCGTTCGTTTTGTATGGCTTTGTTTATATGTTTGTTTGTTTGTTTGTTTGTTTGTTCAATCAGTCTGTGCCAAAGCACAAACACGGACGCGTGTTCTTGTGCCACTTTAATCCTGTGATTTAATAATATCCTACTGTGGTTTTGGACAGTGAAGGGTACATTCATCCGTCAGCTGAAGGTGGATCTATCGTCTGAAAATTCAAAGAAAAATATTTATTTTTTAAAGGAAACACAAATTCAGTTGAAAGATGTAAGAAAACTATAGGAAAAAAATAAAACATTGACTTGGTGGGATTTTCTTCTTGTAATTTGCTTTTAAAACTTTATAGGATATAGGCCTAGTTAACCACGTTAACGTGAGTCCATAACCAAACATCACAATCTATTCATACATTTAATTTGCCTAATAATGCAATTCAATTCAAACTATATAGCAATATTTCAGGTATTTCTCATTTTATCTTTAAAACTATTTTCAAATACTCGGCAAACGATTGTAAATCTGACACCATCACTTAAATCCTTCAACTGAATTTGAGTTTCTAGGGGTCGAAAGAAATAAACACAAAGCATAAAATAATGATAATAATTATTATAATAATAATAGTAATAAAATAAATAAATCACCAAAACCAAAACGAACTCGCATTGACCTGAAATCTGTGATCAAGTGGAAGGAAAAAGAAAATCTACAAATTGCACAATTTCTACATGCTTTTTGTCATTAAATCCTGATTGTTTTTTAACAACACTACAGTCTTTGGACGTTTATTGACATTCAAGGAGATTGTATGGGTTTCAACAATCGGTGTAAAATTCTTAGATTTGCTTTTTGAAATGTTCCTAATGTAATGTTTGCATTGCGGATGATGTGCGCTGTTTGCTCTGTGTGTTTGCGTGTGTGTGTATGTGTGTGTGTGTGTGTGTGTGTGTGTGCCAGCGAGAGTATGACTGACGTGACATGTAAATACGTGGTGGTCATTGTTATTTTCTTAGGTGGATCTGTGTGAGACAGTGATGCCAAAAATCTGGGAAACGAAGCCAACCGTTGTACTTCGACGCAGGCCAAACATCCAGTTGTTTATACATTTAATATTTCCTCCGAAAAATTCCACCTTTAATCTAATTTAATTATTTTGTCATTGTATAAAATATTTACGTGGACACTCGACAGACAAAGCGGGTGAAAATTATAACCAGAAATTGAATTTCTAATTTGTTTGAACAGAACAAAACTAGTTTTTTAACTGGTTTCCAATCTACTATTACCTGTTCAATTAATGTTTATTATTATATTTTCTTCTTTTTTTTTTATTAATCTCACCACGTTTGGTTTTTCTTATGACATATGTTAGAGCGGAACGGTGAAAGAATCGGTGTATTGATGCCACCTCGTGGACTATTGGTGCATTGTAGAGGTGGAATGGACAGAAGATTGTGTACATTTGCAGAAATATAAAGGTTCTTATTTTATACTCAGAATTCTGACTTAAATCTAAATCCAAACTTAGCAACAAGGTCAGGAAGCGTGTCATAATTATGCATAACATTTAAGAAAAGGCAGTGTAATGAGAAAGAAGATATGGTGTTCTAAATGATCCCACTTTATACTATATATTATTAGTATGTTTTTGTATAGAGGGTATTTGAAAAAAAAAAAAACCCCGTGTTGAGAATCCCTAATACTTTATTAGACTCTTTTTTACATACAGGGGTTTTTCTGGTGAAATTGTGTATGTTCCTGATTGTGGGTGTGTGTTGGTGTGTGTGATGCCAGGTCTACACCCTGCTCTCTGGAGAAGCCTATTACCTGGATCCTGTTCTATCAGCAGGCGACCATCTGCCCTCCTCCTGGCCCTCACACTCCTACAGGCGTTCTCTGCATTATTCATATTTTGGCACAGACACACTGTGTCCTGCACATTCTCACCAGCATAGATGCAACCACAACCATAGATGCTTTATACTCCACTGTCATTGTCCTGTTGCATGGACACATAGCGCTCCTACAGGGAATCAACACAATGGCAGCAGAAAGTCATCAAATATCAGTCATCTCTCCTCCAATGCTCGTCTCCTTTCTCCCTCTCACTCAAAGCCAAGCTCCATCTCTACAGTGCTGCTCCAACGACTCGCCTTTTTCCTTTTCTCCTCCTTTTTTTCATTCCTCTCTCTGTTTCTCCAAAGCTCCAGAGTGAGCACAAAAAAGGGCAGAGAGCTAATCCTTCAGCATTGTCAGCTGGGCTTAGTATTGTCATACGGTAGCACGCACAGAGGGAGAAGGATTAGGAGACAGATACTGTATGTGCCAGTACCTCTTAGTGCTGATACGGAGCAGCTCCTGCTTTAAGACTGATATGATTATCAAACTCACTGATGCACACAATGGAAGAAACAAAACCGGGGAAAAATAACAGCTACATTTAATGAAAGATTAGGAGTAATCGTCGCCTTGGAGCTCTTCATCTTTAGATATGATACATTCAGAAGAATCAAATCTTTTCAGTGACACAGAGAATGATTTTAAAGAGCATCTCCACCAATGAATCAACCCCCACGTGTTCTTATTTACAGATATTGGTTAGGACTCCACACCCACACCCACACACACACACACACGTGACACTAATACACAGCTCAATATGACTTCAAGCAAAAAAAAAAAAAAAATCAATGGCGTGGTCAAATTAAGACAATGATTTTACCTAAACCTCTGATATTTAGCCAATGAGAAACACACCAGTGACATGACACTGAGCTGAAGGATCATTTTACAACAGAGAGAATGGGACACCGGTCATCAGCAGAGGATGTCTGACCTTAGCCTACTCATCTTTATATTACAGCAATGCTACACAGTGGTACAAACAATATACAGCGGTTAGTCAAAACATTCTAAGACAGTTAATATTTCATAAGGAGTCTCCAATTTTAATTAAACTGCAGCATGTTCTTTTTTCTTTCTTTCTTTCTTTCTTTTTTTCTTTTCCCAAAAATAGGAAGAACGTTTACAAGGAGCTCAACTGTTGTCCAAAGACCAGGCAGAGAAACACACAAATAGCCTTTGACCTGGTGCTAAAGACAGAGATGGAATTCTCAGAAAGTGTGTCTTAGAATTTTTTTTTTAACTAACCCAATAGTTTGTGCAGGTTAAGTACAAAAGTAAGTAGTACTAGTCTGTAGGCGAGTTTTGCACAAATTAAAGTGGACCGTCCCTCAATAAACACCGGACTCCTCCCCTAACATCCGCCAGGAAACGTCTGAAACGTAACACAGATCTTAATATAAATGTATAACTTAAAAAAATAGAATTAAAATCACCGGCCATATGCACATCTCGGTCCCTGGTCTGTCCACCTTTGTGATGTAATCCAATAAACATTCCTTCCAGCCACGAGTCTTTAAATGTGTTGCTGACACCCCCCCACCTGTTAGCATATTTGTAAATCCAGTGTTTCTCGATAACGTGTGACGTCACAAAATAGAGCCACGACTTTGAGGATGTGACCTGACAGGAAGTATTGTAAGCAAAAGAAATAGCGGCGCCCGGTGGCTGAATGTAGCCAAAAGGAGTGATGAAAAATATTTAAAAAGTAAATATTGTTAACCTCCCAGAGCCAGAGATTGGGATTTAGTTTAAAAAATGTAAGGCAAAATGTCACGCTTACAAAAAAAAAAATAGGAATTTTACCATGTTGGACCAGATTTTATTTTTTATTTTTTTTCATCTGAGGTTACTCTGAGACTTTAAACAACAGTGACATTGTTGGGGAAAAAAGGACAACTGATAACTTCTAACATGACAGTGTTCAAAGTTTATGACAATATGTGACATCTCAAAACATGGACAAACATGCAGTCATGGCTTTGACCGGCGACATGGAATTCAGCATTTCCCTCGTTGTTTGACGTCAACATACATTTAACCAGAGATGTTATTGCACAAAACAAAGTAGCACAAAGCAACGTGAAAGGACTTTCTGTATAAACCAGATAAGAAAAAAACATATGTTACAAACACAGAGCAAACATAAACAGACACTTTAACAAAACAAACAAAAAACAACTCTTAAAAGTAAAATGTATAAAATAAATCATATGCTGGCACTTGCACAAAGTAAACACCTTAAGGCTGCATATCAGGGGGGAAAAAACATAAAGGCAAGAGTTTTTACTTTTGTTTTAGGCAATATGTCAGGCAGTATGCCAAATGTCTCAACTTCCTTAGTGTGAATTTTCTTTTTTAACCTTTGCACAGCAGACAATATTTAATTACATCACTAAATCCTCACTAAGACTAACATGATTATCATCACCAACAACATTAGTGTCTTATTGTCAAATCAAATTTACAGTGGTGAAACAAGGACACACCTTTTCTCTAAAACATAAAGTTACAAAGTCAATCAGTCAGCAAATAATTAAACAGTGACAAATAACAGAAAGATTACGAGAAACGCAACAGCATGTTTATAGCTCTACTGGAACACTTCCTGTTAGCAACAGGCATTTAGCCCAAGTGGCCTGAAAGCAAGGAACCATAAAGGCCTGCCCACAGGTTCCATTGCGATCACGTGTGCAGGATTAAAGGTCACTGTACTTGGACCGCACACTTTGGTTTGGTCTAGAGCCACGTCCGTGTTGTGCTCATGTAGTCCAGTTCAACCAATGAAGTTCCCATGAGTAAATGTTGACAAATAAATCCAATAGTCATTTTTTATTGTAGTGTTGACCTTGTTAATGTTTTGTTCTTTGTTTTACAATTCTTAAAAATCCTTTTCAGGATCACGAGCATGACAACGACACCGCAGTCCTCTGTCAACCAATATTTGTGTGAAAGATGTGGGGGAAAGTTGTAACATCCACAAGAGCAGCAACTTCCACACAAAGCCCAAACACGATAAGTTGATATGTGCATTTGCTGAACGACAAACACACAGTAATCTGCACGCTTCCTTCACAAAACCCTGAACGCAACACAGTCCATCATAAGGAATAAAATAAATCAAATAAACCTATGCCTGTGGTGATCAGTTTGCTACATCCTTGCCATAAGAGAACTTAATCAGACCAGCTACAACATGCAAATGAAACGGTTGTCCTAAAATAGTAAAGGGACGTGTCCGCCATGCATTTTCATTCTGATAATATATATCTTTTTAATCTATTTCTACATGATTGTTTTTCTCGCTTAGTATGCATGAATGTAAGCTGCGTATTGTTGACTCAAAACTAATGCTCTGAACGAGGATTTAAACAACACAGAATCCTGAACATGTTTGGTCCACACCTGGAAAAACAAAGATTTTTGGCAAATAATTGTCTTAACATTAAGACATAAAAGTGCTAGTCGGAGATTACAGATCATCATCTTAAATCCAAGCAGCGGAAATGACCGCAATATGCCAGTTGTACAGAAAGACAGACATGGAAACAGATAACGCCAACACATAAGCTAGCTCAATAAACTGATCCTAGACCAGCAGCGACAGTGAGTCTTTATGGAGACAATGTGATCATTTGTGTCCAACACAAGGGACAATTTCTAGAAGAAACACCTACAATATTTACACCATATCACAGAGGGGAGGATTTTATATTTGCAGGCTATCTATACTATTTATAGTCATACAGAATTAAATATTCTATCTATTTAAATCTGAGAATCAAATCAGTTCCATTTATATATTTACACTAATGGTCACTACCATTAAACCTGTACACGTCCTTATGCCTCGATGTTATATTGACACTGGGAGTCAAAGACCTCACACAAGGTCAGATGAGGTGAGTATGAGCTGTAGGAGGGTCAAAGTCAAGAAGTTCTAGGACTGGTGTGACTGCTTACCAGCTAGATAGCTAGAACATGTGAAGATTAACGCTCTGACAAGCTCCATCAGTACGTCAAATTCTTTAACCCAAACATGAATGAAAATTTGAATGAATTGAAGCTTGGCAACAGGTTCTGATCTAGCTTCATTTGATTATTTTCCTTCCCTCAAAGTTACTTGATCTCTTTTTCTAGACTTCTACAAATAAAGAACTTTTTTGCAGATAGAAATGTTCACATATATATATATATATATATATAGATATATATATATATTTAAATTATAACTATTTGGCTTCCCCTGGTACACTTCTGGACCACTTTATTAGGTACATCTGTTAAAATGCCTGACAATGTAAATGTCCAATTAGTCTGTTAAATGGCAGAGAGGTCAATGCATTTGGACTTGTAAACATGGACGAGGTCCAGCATTATAATAAGGAGGATTCAAGTGACTTTTTGTCACTGGAAAAAAAAACAAAAAACGCTGTCATGCTGGGATTCTCTCACACAAACATGTTTCCAAATATTATGATAAATTTGTGCCTTGAATAATAAAGCCGTTTTGAAAGCAAATGTCAATACATAAATAGCAGGATGTACCTAATGAATTGACCAGTAGGTGTATGTCACGGACCACACAAGCACACATTGTATACACACACAGTAGTTGTAAAGGTTTCAGCCACTGGGGTGACAGACAGAAGGGAGTGACTGCTGATGATGTCAAACACGTGGAGGAGTTTCTCAGCAGTGGCGTCATTTACTCCTGATTTTTTAGAATTCTAGTTCTTCCCTGTCAAACTTTCTTTGTGGCCTCCATCTTTTTCTCTGGACTTTTTTATCTGACTTCCTGACCTCTGACCTATTTACCACTGAATCACTCTTTCACTGTTAAACCTCTCATTTCTCCACCAACACAAACAACACCACAAGTACTCCCTGGTTCTTTTCTGCCCTAAGAGGTTCACAGCTCCGTCCTGTGGTGTGCATCTACATGTGTAGCGTATGCCGCCATGCGTTGTCAACACTTAAGCTGTTCTATGTCTGAGCACTCGGTGTCCATGTCAGAGTCATAAAGCGAGTGGCCTGTAGGGTCACTGTCAGGGGACAGCGGCCGCAGCGGTGTAGGGGTGCGTGAAGTGTGAGTGTGTGTGTTTTCTTGGGAAGTTTCCGTGCGGGAGTAGAGACCCAGATCAGGGAGCTTGGAGGGCGAGTCACTAGGCTCTGTGGTGTCACTGTAGTAATAGTCCTCCAGGTCCACGAACCACTCGGGCCAGAAACGCCGGCGGATACGCTCACAGTACATGGCCAGGTTGATCAGCTCACCTGGAAAAGACAGACAGCTGATTTGTTAAGGGGTTAAAACAGCAACATGGCTAAATGCATTTATACTAATGAAATATGAAGCACCTGTTACATTAGAGAAAAAAATAGCAGGATAAATGAATACATTTAGTCAGAAAATAAAATGGAAAAATGGTAATTCCTTTGAATTTAACACAGACTTTTTTTTTTTTTGATGGCCATTATTTATAGGTTTTTACCTACAAACCTACACTTACCATCATCTCCCAAGCTGCCTGTTAAACAGTTAAGCTCTGACATCTCTGCATAATCAGTCACAATTCCAATCAATACAAAATACTGTATTGTAATTATGGCAGGACTGCGAGTATGGAATTTCAATTCAGGTAATTACACATTGATTGCAGATTGAAAACAGATGGGTGGGGCAGCTCAGTGTAACTCAGTTAGTAAAACGGAGAAGGCGGTTCGATCCTGAGCCCCTCTGTTCGACTGATGTGAAACTAGACAGGTCAGTTTAACAACAGAGCAATAAACAAAAACAAAATGTATTAGCACTAATCCTTTAAATTGAAATAATGCCAACTACATAGCACAAAACAATTCATCTTCTCACAGATTCAAACCAAACATGGCTCCGAACCATGACAGAGACATCTGTCGTGAACTCACCTTTGATGAGCTGCTCTGGACGTGTTCCTGGTAGCGTCCACATTGCAGGAGCCAGGTGACTGAAAACTGCAGCATCTACAGATGTCAGCTTGGAACCCATAAGGTATTTTTTATCACCTATGAAAATTAGAAGATTTATCAGCACAATAAAAGACTACCTTTAAAGACATTTATTAACCCACTCTAAACTATTGATATGATTTAAACATAATATAATAGGTTTTAAGGTAACATTTTCTCCATATCAAGCACCCCATTATAAAGCGCCAGAAGCTTCCTAACTTCATTCCTACATTTTCCCACAAGAGGTCAGTATTGAGTCATTGTAATAGTTGTTTTCGTTATTGTTCAGCAATCACACCGCAAGCTTGTGATGGTAGGGCTGACTTCTTTATATAAACAAAGCAATTTAAAATTACTGAACTGTTAACAAAGTTTTTAGAAAAGACTTAAATGTTGTTTTAAGATTTTCTTGACTTGTCACCTAGTAGAGTAGCAAGGGTGCGCATGTCCTTTTCCATCAATGCATAAACCTCCTCCTTAGAAAACCGACCAATTCCGTGTCCATACATCTCCCTCTGTACGATCCCACCCGTCAGGTGACTCAGGATCCACTTAAGCAGGTCACTCAGTGGTCCGCTCACCGACAGCATTTTCTGAGTCTCCTCCAGGTTGTCCACCCATTGGCAGTAAGCTATGGTCCTGGGATACAACACGTAAAGTGTGCATTCAGTCTTCACAAACATTTCTATATACATACTGTACATATTGGTAGAGTACAAGTTCTAGTAGCTGTACTACTGAAGAAAAAAAGAAGATGAGTGATCCCTCACCAGTAAAAATGTTCTTCTACCATTTTGGTGATGGCGCGGGACATGGCCTTCTCCTGTGGCGTCAGGCTCTTGTTGAGACTGACTCCCAGCCTCTCCTCCAAGAAGTCTATGATAAATTCTGTGCCGTACACCTGTTCTTGGTTGTACTCAATCCATGGCATTTTCCCCTGTGGTGAAAGTTTCCCATCAAAGTAGTTCTGCCAAACAAAAAGTGAGACGGATGAGTAAAGGGTTCCTTACAATATTAATAAAACAATACATTTTATGATTGATTTAAAGTTAGCCATAGAGTCTTAGAGTTTAAAGTAAAACACCCCAAAGAAATGACAATTAAAGAAAATTAAAGAA